GAATGGGTCAGGCAGGAGGTAGATGATAGGTCTGGATCTGTCACTGACTTGTGTCCTCATATGAATTACTAGGCCCCTCTAGGACACAGTTTCCTCACCTATAAAATGAGTTCATCAACTCTTGTCATACCAACCAACCTCAGAACCTTTATCTGTCCATCCATCTATCTATCTATCTATCTTTTTATCTGTCTATCTATCTTTCTATCTATCTATCATCTATCTGTCTGTCTATTTTTTTTTGCTTCTTTGTTGTGTTTTCTTTTTTAACTTCTTTAAATGAAAAAAAGTATGCTTCAATCTTCACTCAAAGTTCATTAATTCTCTCTCCCTCAGAGCTGTTTTAAGGACAACAGCTCACATTTATCTATCACTTTAAGGTCTGCAAAATGCATTGTATACATTACCTTATTTGATCCTCACAGCAACCCTGTGAGGTAGATGCTTTGTTTTCCCCATTTTATTTATTTATTTTATTTTTAGGCAATTGGGGTTAAGTGACTTGCCCAGGGTCACACAGCTAGTAAATGTCAAGTGTTTCATCTGAGGACAGATTTGAACTCAGGTCCTCCTGACTCCAGGGCCAGTGCATTATCCACTGTGCCACCTAACTGCCCCTTATTCATTCATTCATTCATTTATTTATTTTATTTTTAGGCATGTTTCCCACATTTTACAGATGAGGACAGTGTGTTACAGAGAGGTTAAGTTAAAAGGCCAGTGTCATATAGTTAGTAAGAGTCTGCCACAAGACTAGAACTCAGGCCTTCCAGATTTCAGGTTCATGCTACTCTGCCTCTCACATAAGATACTATCTCAGTAAATGCTTTAGGAATGGTGAAGTGTTATGTAAATATGAGGTGATGCTATCATCTCCATTTCACAAATGAAGACCCTAAGGCCCTGAGGAACCAAGGGACTTGGTCAAGGTAACATAGCTAACTAATAAGAGAACCAAGATGAGAACCCAGGTATTCTCTTTCTACTGCATGTGTGGTTGTTCAGCATCTATGTCCTTGAATTTCCCACATGTTGGAAAATGTTTCTTTTGTCCCACATCCCTCACATACACCCATAGACTAGGTAAAGCCCATGTCTTGGTCACTAGTTCTGAGATTGTGTTTGAAAAAAAAACAACCTCATTGCAATAAAACCATTGCATATTTCAGGAGATGCTGCCTCTCTGAGCCCTCTAGAATCACAGGATGTCAGAGCTAGAAGACACTAATTTAGAAATCCCTCTTTTTTACATATAAGGAAATTAACGCCCAGAGAAAGAAAGTGAATGGTCTAAGGTCAAATGTCAGAGATAAGATTTTTTGGGGGGGCAATTGGGGTTAAGTGACTTGCCTAGGGTCACACAGCTAGTAAGTGTCAAGTGTTTGGTGTGAGGCCAGATTTGAACTCAGGTCCTCCAGACTTCAGGGCTGGTGCTCTATCCACTGTGCCACCTAGCTGCCCCCCAGAGATGAGATTTGAACCTAGGTCTTCTAACTCCAGATCAGTGTTCTTCCTTCCCTACCATTCTACTTCCTGGTTCAGTTCTTCTCATTTTGGGGAGACACTGTTTTGTCAAAGCACTGGGGCCCATGGGTGTACTTCTTACCTCTTCACAGTGTGGTGTGCCTCTGTGGTAAAGGCTTAAGGGAAGAGAGAGAGCCCCAATGTTATTCTCTGGTAGATCCTTCACAGAGGATCCCTCTCAACCAATCAAACAGCATTTATTAAGCACTTACTGTATGCCAGTCATTGTGCTAGGCAATGGACACACAAGGACAAAGAATGAAACAATCCCTACTCCCAATTAGCTTGCATTCTAATGAGGGAGATGTCAAACACACATAAAAATATATACAGCATAAATATAAAGTTTATCTGCATATATACATGTAGTTAATAATAATAATAGCTAGCATTTCATAGAACTTTACAAATATAGAATTTTATCTTCACAACAACCCCGAGAGGCAGATGTTATTATATCCATTTTACAGATGAGGAAACTGAGGTAGAGAGCACTGAAGTGGCTTGCCCGGGTTCATGCAGCTAAGTAAGTGTCTGAAGCTAGATTTGAACTCAGGTCTTCCTGACTTCAGGTTCAGCATTCTATCCACTGTGCCACTTAGCTGCCTACTTAAATAGAAGATAGTTTGGGAAAATGGGCAATAGCATTTTGGGGGCAGAGAGAAGAAGAAAAGGCTTTATGTGGAAAATGGTACCTGAGCAACTGGATCCTCTTCTCTAGGTCCTTTTTGTGGGGACCAGTAGAATACTTAGACTGTCCACTGATCATCCTTTATTTTTACAACATGACTAGGCCATGTCCTTTTCTTTTTTGGAATGGGGGAGACTGGCTGTCCCTATCTTGCCCAGGCTAGAATATAAGTGGTCACTCACTGGCCTAATACCCTTGCTGACTGGCAGGGAAGCTTTTACCTGCTCTGTTTCCAACCTGGGGTAGCTTGCCTCTCCTTAGGCAGCCTGGTGGTTTTCACTCCTATGGGCTTACCATATTGGTATTAGACTTAGTACAAGTACACAGTCAATGTTAGCCCTACTCCAGCTCCGAACTCTTGAGCTCAAGCAATCCACAAGCCTCCTTGGCCCCCAATAGCATGGATTTTAGGTGTGTGCCCCTGTGCCCAGCCCATGTCCTCCAATCAGAACTTTACCTGAAGATACCCTTTATACTAAGAGGTGTCTTGGCTTAGGTGCAAGGGTTCTTAACTTTTTCTGTGCTGTGGACTCCTTCCTACAGACCACTTCACAAAAGACTTTTTAAATGCATAAAATAAAAATCATTAGATTACAAAAGAAACTGATAATATTGAAATACAGTTATCAAAATATTCTAAAAATCAAGTTCATGGGACCTAGTTGAAGAAGCCTTGACTTAGCCAATAAAGTGATGGCCTCAGGAAGACCTGGTCAAGTCCAGCTTCTGCCCCACACTGGCTGTCTGATCTTGGGCAAGTTACCTACCTCTCAGTACTCCCAGTAGGTACTAAGTGGTATGCACTGTTAGAGGGAGTTTCCTCCTTTGGAATTCCCCATGTTAATGAAATTGCAGGTCCAAAAAAGTCTTTTATGCCACATCTTTGAGCATTTGTTCTCATCGGATACATGCTGCAACTTCCTTGTGCTTGCCATGTATCTCTCCATTTTTATTTTTATCTTCATTATTATTATTAGTTATCTATATATAGTTATAGTTATCTATCTATATAATCTATCTATAACATCTATATTATTCCTCTCCTAGACTGTAAGTTCTACAAGGTCAAGGAATCTACCTTGAATAGACTGGTCCCTAGCAGAGCACTCTGTACATAGTGCCTTATATATGTTATTGATTAAGGTAGGGGTGGGGTCCAGGAAAAAATTTTTTTAGGAAATCTGTTTCCCTAAAACATATGGGAATGTGTTCCTATCACTTTTTACTTTTCTCTGAGGTGCTCTGGCTGGGCTTAAGCTCAGTCCTCATTGATACCCTTCTCCACTCATTCCTTGAAGCTAGGAAATCAGGCAAAGGTATATTTATTAAACACTTACTGCATACCCAGCCCTGTGAGTGACAATGAGAAAAGGAGAAAGTTTCAAAAAAAAAAAAGATCAAATTATAAAAAAAAAAGAAAGTTTCTATCCTCAAAGACCTTATAATTTGGTTTGGAAGAGGACTAACTCATATACATGAAATGTTTAGATGCTAACTAGTGCGAAAAGTGTGTGGTCTTGATTACAAACTCCATAGAAGCTTATTTTTTAAATTAAAAATTTTATGAGCAAAAATTGCTTTCTTTTCTTTCATCCCTCTCTCTACCATTGGGGGAAAAAAACCCAAAAACCTTTGTAAACAAATATACATAGGTATACATATACATACACACATACATATATATGCAAAACCAGTTTCCACATTGGCCATGTCCAAAAAGATCTCATTCTGCCTCAAGCCCATTACTTGGCTCTGTCAGGAGGTGGGTAGTGTACTTCATTTTTGGCTCTCTCAAATCATGGTTGGTCAATGCATTTATTGATCAGAATTCTTGAGGCTTTCAAAATTGTTTGTTATTCAGTGTTGTTATTGTGTAAATTGCTCTGGTTCTATTTATTTCATTCTGCCTAAGTTGAGAGAGGTCTTCCCAGATTTCTCTGAAACTATCCCTCTTGTAATTTCATATGGCATAATAATATTCCATTATATTCATAAGATTTGATCAACCACTGCCCAATTAATAGGCACCCCCTTAGTTTTCTGTCAAAAGTAGCTGCTGTATTTTTATGCATGTGGGTACTTACCTTTTTTCCTTTGATCTCTTTGGGGTCAATAGTTTAGAGAGGTGAGGAACAGGGGCTTCATCAAGGAGGTGACACTTGAAGTGGGCTTTGAATGATAGCTGGAATTTGAAGAGGAGGGACAATACGGATCAAGAGGTGTGGTGCTGGGAACGAACAATGAAGCACATTTGAGTGGCAGTGAGAAGACCAGTCTGATTGGAGCAATGGGAGATCCAAGAGGGGCGATGTTGAATAGGGAGTTGGTGTTAGATTGTGGAGCATTTTGAAAGTCAGGCAGAGGATTCTCTCTCTTCTTCAGTCCTCTGGCTTAGAAATAACATCTGTGAAGCCTCTTCAAGGTAGAGGGATGGTAGACATTGACCTCTTGTGATAGTAATAATTTATAACAAATTGCATTTATATACATCTTTAAGGTTTGCTAAGTTCTTTACAATGATCTCATTAGATCCACACAACACTGGGAGGTAGGTGCTATTATTATCCTGATTTTACAGATGAGGAAACCAACGCAGACAGTGGTTAAATGACTTGTCCAGGGTCACACAGCTAATAAGTGTCTAAAGCAATATTTGAACTGAGGGCTTTCTGAGTTTAGATCCAGCACTTTTATCCACTCCCCCACATAGCTAACCTCCATTTGAGGCAACCAGTGACCTCAAGGATCATCTACTCACACACCTACCCATCTGTTTTCCTTGTAGTCGCATCAAGAGCAATGTAGATGGACGCTACTTGGTGGATGGTGTCCCGTTCAGCTGCTGCAACCCGAATTCTCCAAGGCCCTGCATACAGACCCAGCTCACCAACAACTCTGCCCACTACAGCTATGACTACCAGACTGAGGAACTCAACTTGTGGATCCGGGGCTGCCGGGAGGCGCTGCTCCATTACTACAGCAGTATGATGAACACTATGGGTGCCATCGTCCTTCTTGTCTGGCTCTTTGAGGTACAGATTTGGTCTGTTTGATTTTAGGGCTATATGAAAGGTATAGCCAACAAGGAATTTGTGGTGGGGGGCAGGGAGGGAGGTCCTATTACCCTTTGGGTTTTAAAGGGCTGACTGCTTTACTTGGGGGTCTTGCCACAGAGTATCCCTGGCCTCATAATAGATCAGGATGGCATCAGCCCCATGACAGATTGTAATGACAGAGATGCTAACTTAGGTGTGTCCTGCTTAAAGCCAGTCTAACATAAAATAGCTAGTGTTTGTATATCACTTTGAGGTTTGAAAAGCACCTTACCAATATTACTCATTTAATCTTCACAATCCAGAGAAGTAGGTACCACTATCCCTATTTTTTACAGATGAGGAAACTGAGGCAAACAGAAGTTAAGTAATTTGCCCAGGGTCACAGAGTGAGGAAGTGTATGAGGCTGGATTTGAAATCAGGTCTTTCTGACTCCAAGTCCAGTGCTCTATCTACTGAACTAAAACTTGATGTTAAAACAAAACAAAACAAAACAACCCAATACCACGACAGAGAACTTGTGGGGGTATGGAACAGGGCCTCATATTTTATATTAGGAGGTGCCCAGGTGCATTTCAAATTAACGAGCACATCAGTTGCACAAAATGAGGTATGCCTCTTTTAAAAATCCAGTTTGTAAAACTGAAACAAGGGGCAGAATAGTCAAGTTTTTTGTTTTGTTATTTCCACATACTTTAAAATAAAACAAACAAAACTATGCCAATTGCATAGAGTAGGGAACATAGCCAGGAACTCACAAACACGAAATGTTAATCTGTGAACCAAGAGGAAAACAATTGGTGAGTGGAGTGGGCTCCATCAAGGGAGACTTCTTGGATGAGGTGGTTTTAAGTAGGGATGCTTAGAAGGGATAGGGAAAGACTTCACCAAGTCATCGAATTTAGCTCCCTGAAACCAATCAGGAAGACATTTCCATCATCCCAGGGTATTTACCATTCTGAAAGATTCCCTGGGGAGAGGGCACAAGCCCTTTCGAAATTATTATTTTGATTCTGAAGATACAATAAACCTAACAAATCTAAACATTAGGAAGTTCTACCTTTGGCCTCTCTGAAGTACCGCCCTATGAGTTATCCTTTGTTCTCTGAATTTTCTCCTCTCCTCTCCCCAGGTGACTATTACAGTTGGACTGCGCTACCTACACACAGCCCTGGAAAATGTGGCCAATCCTGAGGACCCTGAGTGTGAGAGTGAAGGCTGGCTGCTAGAGAAGAGTGTGTCAGAGACCTGGAAATCCATCCTGGAGAGTTTGAAAAAACTTGGCAAAGGCAGCCAGGTGGAAGCAGCGGCTGATGAAGGCGGCCAGGCCCCACCAGCCAGCTGAGGTGTCTCTAGGGAGCCCCTGCCAGGGACACCCCCACTGAACAATGACACACGGGGAAGTGGTGGGACTCAGAGGGACAGTGGAAACTCTGCTCCCATAATCTAATGTACATTCATGACTCCCAGTGGAGAATAACCATCTTGAAGAAATAACCCTTTCTCAGCAGGTGGGTGGAGGGGTCAAACAGGAGAGTTGCTAATGCTGGCTCTACTTGGAAAGGGGCCTCTCTCCAGCTCACTCTTCTTGGAGAATCCTTCACCATACCCTCCAAAGGCTTTCTCCCTTCTTTTGGTGGGCCCCAACCCACGAAAGGGGCTGCTTTACCAAAAGGGCGATACCTATATCCCCAATTCTTCTTGCTCCTCTAGAATATAAATGTGATCTTAACATCTCAGGGATGGCTGCCTGCCCATACACATGCTTTCTTCTCCCCTTTCCTCACCCATTCAGTGCTTCTCTTCCTTTTTTTTTAATCACTTCCCTTGCATCCTCTTTGGGCAGGTGTCACCCAAATAATTCAGGAACTAGAGACCCTGTCTGGGGCTCTACTCTGTGTGAGCCGGAGAGGATGCTGAGTGTCCCCTTGCTAACTCCAGGTCTGCTTGATTTCCAAGACAGTGTGTACAAAAGCAGCGCTTGATGACTCTAGATGGGATCACATTAGAGGAGTCTGGAAAATGTACTGCTCATTTTAAGTTGTAGCCCAGTCTCTTTGTACAGTTGATACTGGAAGATGGGGGTTGGAAGTGGGGAGTGCCAGACAAAGGATCAAGATTTCTCCTTTCCCAGAGGGGCAGGAAAACAGAGCGTGAGCAAAGAAGAAAAATAATTTTCAGCACTTTCCCTGTTTTTAGACATAAGTATGGTCTTTGTTCCTAAGTTCCTAAGTTCCTCAGAGATTCATTTTAGATAGAGCTATGAGCAGAGCAGGTCAAAGGTAACCATAGCCAGCACATGGCATCTCAAAACCTTCTCTTATACCCCATTCTGGGACAGAAACTGCTACACTGGATTTCTTTCTTTAAAAAAAAAAAATCTGATCATATCTTTGTCCTGGAGGGTAGTAGGGATGTTTCTTAAATGAAACAACATTTGCCCTTTGGGGAATATTGTGCATCTCTCCTGGCGGTATGGACACAGGGATAAATCTAAGCACCACATAGGACTCCACAAGCAATACTCCCAACACATCCCAGGCCTCCCAGGTAAGAGATAGTGAGGGTCTATATTTCTGGGATGACTACCTTGAGAAAGGCCTTTTGACTTGTGTCCAGAGCCTAGACATGAGAAGAGGAACCCTGGTCAGATACATTCCATAGAATGATCTTGCCTCCAACCTAAAATCTTAGAAACTAGGCCAAGGCAGATCCTTATCACAGCCCTCAAGGGCCAGTTAAGGGATCTGCTAGCTGGCTGGATCACCATTTAATTAAAGACCCATTCTGCAGCCCCTAAAACCAAAACTGGAAGAGGAAACCTATTGCCTTTTCTGCTATTGGGGCTAGAGGGAAGGGGACTTCCTAGACATGTCCCCCCCCTCCCCCAACGCCCCATGACTGCTTCAATCCAATCATGGCAGTTGTGGTTCCAATGAAACTTAGGTACCTTCCGCAGTCCCTTCTTTGCCTTCTCACTTTACATCCACAATGATGGGAACTTCTGATGTTTTATCATCACTGACCTGACTAAATATCACTGCCCTTTGCTCTGCCTTTGTGCATAGAGTGAAACAATATGGAACCTTGTTGGATAGGGAGTTCAGGTCCCCAAGTTCTGGTCTCTGCTTTGCCATTTGGCTTCTACTATATTCCCAGGCAACCTACACAGGTTTTTCTGTCCTGCTGTTGGGGGAAGATGTGACCTGAGGACTGCAATCTTTTTTTTCTTCAGAATTGGAACACAGGCCTGCTATTCTCAAAGTAGATGAAGACATTTAACTATGTGCCCAGCAACAGTTCTTCAAAGTCCCTGTATTAACTTAAAAGTTCTTTCACTATAACAGGAAAGCTATGTATTAACTACCTATACTCATGCCCTTGTCCAGGGCCAAATGCCACAATGCAAATGCTGTTTTAGGCTCACACTTGTACTTATGCTGTTGTCAGCTGTAACATAGACATTAAAAACATTTTAAGAAGAACATTGGTTAAATGAATGTCACTTAATACAGTATGTAACACCGAAACCCAAACTCTGGCTAATATTAACTACTGAAAAGATATTTGAGACATTTCTGCTCTTAAAGACCAGTACCTTGTATTGGTGATACCTCCCACTGATCCGTTGAGAAGAGCAATTTTGGTTATTAAGATAATCCAGCTAATCACAATTTGAGCCTAAGTTTAGACTTCAGTTATATTTTGCTTTTAAATGAAAATTAACCATACAGAATTTCCATACAGAAACATATTTGTAGGCCTGATTCTTTGAATTCTTTGACTCTCTGCTTTAGCTGACACACATTCCCACAACCAGGGAAACCTAAGGGAACTGAAAGAGATATGGGACTGAATAACTTAAGGCACTTTGAAAACGTGTGAGCTATTGGAGATAAGGGGCAAATGAGTATTGTCTATTCTGAGGCCTTGTCAGCTCTCAAATCATTGTAATTTTTGGGAAGGATGTTAAGTCACCTCATTTAATATCATGAATCTTGGTAATCTCACAGATGAAAAATTCTATAGGAAGATTCTATGTGGGCTCTGCTCACCTGCACCAATGACTGATAAGTCTATATCATCAGCCACTTCTTGCTTCTAACAATACTCACTTTCACTAGCAGTATAAAGCTAGTCTTCAATTCTGTATTTATTGAATATCTGCTGAATGCAAAATAGTTCTAGGCATCATGGAGGACATAAAGATAAAATAGTTTCTATCCTCAAAAGACCTAAAATCAAGTAGATATTGGGTTTGATTTCCTGTTCCTCTAGGTTCATGTCTGACAGTCCCCGTACGGGGGACAAATCAGGGACTTTTTACTTATTTCAGTACTCTACGAATTTGTGATTTGGCAGAGGTACCTCCTACATTAATACCTTCATCTTAGCAGAGAGCCTTCATGGGTTTTTGTGACTGAAAAAATTCATCACACGGTGGCCCAACATGGGTCGATAATCCCCTCTCTTAACTGAGCCAGGCTGGTCCTAGTGCATTAGATGCCCAACCTTGTTGTTAGGTCCGTACTTGAAACCTTTCCAGATTGGTAGGTAAGGCCTACTGGTCTCCAAGAACCCCGAGTTACCTTTGCACCATGGTAACGCATCAGAGTAGAATTTTAAGAGAAGTAGGGATTTATTACTTAAAAGTAAAATAAAACCCGTCACGAAATAGAAGCTATAAGTTTATTTAGAACACCTAAGGATAAGGGATTTGTGCACAGACTGAGAACGTGGAACAACTTCTAATATCTTTCAGGTCCTGAGTACCACTGGCTAGCAGCTTCAAGGCATATCAACCTTGAGTAACCTTGATATAGTTAAGAAGATTAGCTGCTAGTTAGCTCTGCACCTTCCCACTACATCTAGGGCAATCTTAATGCGGGGCACAGCCCAGGCTAGCAGTTTTGTAGCTTAGTCAGGACAGGGTAAGACATCGATTAAGTTCCCTCCTCTTTTTATGGTTAAACAAAACTTACTCCCAGTGACAGGACAAGAAAAGGGTAGGTCTCCAAGGCAGCAGCCATGAGGATTCAAAGGGTTCAGCGGGACATTGATAGAAAGGAGCTCAGAGCGTCTTTGAAAAATCTTTAAAATCAAAGGTGATAGGGAAGTGGAAGGAAAGAAGGATGAAGGAGGACTCATAGTAACATTAACATTAACTCATATTAAACAAAGCCTGAACAGGGGGATGCAGCACCACGAGCAGTAGAACACACTATCTTTTCTTTTCTTCTGAAAGTGGAGGATGAGCAGAAAAATAACATAATCTGGGAATCAAATTGATTGATCCAAGTCCCCCCCCAACGCCCTGCCACATCCTTTTGGTTTTATTTTGTTTCCCAAAGGGAAGGATTAGGATACAAAGTGCATTTCTCTTGTAAAGTGTCTCCTTTCTCTGTTTTCCTGTTAACTTATTTTGGAAAATTTGTCAGAAGAAAACCTCCTGTTCTTTTTCTTAGACAGGACTATCATAAGCCTGCAATGTCTGGTGTAACAAGTTAGAACACGGCCCTAAGATGAGGAAACTGGAATATGAAAATTCCCAGAAGGGCCGAAACCTAGATATTTCCCAACAAAACCCAAGTCTTTTGGCTGTGGGGAGGCCCCCAGCAGGCCTCTTCTTGGACTGAGAGCCATCATGATCCAAAGCAGAAAGGTCATAAGCTGTCATACCTACTTAACGTGCAACTTAATCAAGCAAAGTGATGACCAAGCACTCTTTGGGAAGGTGAAGAGAAGGGTTCAGCTAATGGCCATAATCGACACTAAGAACATAATCACCTTAATTTTCAGCTTAATACAAATGCCCCACATTGTCAGCAAGGTGAGAGGGTGAAAACCATTCCAAAGCATTTTATAGGATAAATTTAAGAAAGGGTAATAGGCCAGTATCATGTTAACATCAACACCTAAAGCATTTATTTGGATACCTTTTAAACTTTTTACATATGATACATTCCAAATTTTACAAGTTGTCCACAGATTTTAAAGTAATAGCCAATTTATTAACAGGTATGACTTCCCCTGATATTGAAAGCTTGTTTATATAAACATCTCTACAATGAACATAAATACATGCGGAACCAATAATAAAACAAAGATAGTTCATTATGGAAAGAAGAGGACTAGGCTGAAGGGCAAACCCGACTCCTCCCCTCTCAAATAAACCCTCAGAAAGTTGAAAACTGTATGTTGCTATTTTATGCAAATTCATAATTCTCTCAAAGACTAATAAGCCTTGCTATTTTAGATAATGGAACCTGAGGGAATGGATTTTTCTTTGCTAACTCAGGATGTTGTGGGTTTAGGCACAATAGCTGGTGTATTTGTATTAGGAAGTGCCTACACTGAAACCTTTATAATACTTCTGGGAAAAAAAGTCAAACTGGCCTTGCAATTTTAAACAAGAGCTCTGTGAACCTATGAAGAAGTGCCTAAGGGAAGTTGAGGCAGAAACAACTGTTTTAAAAAATGTCTACACCATGCACAACCTAAATATTAGGATTTAGTT